GCTAAGCCACCAGAGTTCCCTGCAGGGTTCCCTAGGCAATATCTAGAAGAGCAGATCACCCAGTCTTTTCTCTTACAGAGCCATTGTGTGGCTTCAAACTACTGACTTCCTGGTCAGCAATCAAATGCTCCTATGGGGATTACCCTTGGCTCTTTTTTTTTGCCTGTTTTATCGTTTTCATGAGTCATTTCAGAAAGCTTTAGAGATATCTGTGTACTGACATTGTGTTTACTTACTAGAAAGACAATGCCCAACGTTTCTACCCTCCATTAACATATCTGCATGGCTGTGTGAAAAGCTCTTCAAATTCCATCCTCATATCCCCAGTCTCTGACCCCACAGATGTAGAGTGATTGTCTAGATGGGCAGCCAAGCCTGGGAACAGGCTAAGAAAAAACCAGGGCTCCCTTGCTGCCCCGAGATAGGGGTAAAGTGGGAAAGGATGGAGTCTGGTGCTGAAGCGGCTTGTGGTAGGGGCTGTAGAAAAGGATCAATCCCCTTATGGGCTTCCGTTTCCTCATATAAAATGGACCCAGGAATCCCTATCTTGCTAACCCTGCAGGAATCTATCCATCTACCCATCTCACTCTGATGGCTTAGTTTGTCTCACCATTGACTCAAAGACCACACCTCCCTGGCATTTGGAGCCCACCAGCCTTTCTGCGGGAGAAATGTGGGAAGTCCCTTCCTATGTGATTTACAGCCATGCCAACCTGCTGGAGTGTCAGCTGTGAGTCAGTTATGACTTAACGACAATGGCTTGACTTGGCTTGATCCATCCAGCAGGTGTGTCCAGAGGACCTATTGTGGACCATTCTGGGGACAGAGATGAGTCCCCAGAGACGTTCACAGCCAAGTGCAGAGATGGACAGTGCAGGGTCCTCTTGGTCAAGAGCTTGGGCTCTGGGATCCAATACTGACCAGGACATGACCTCATCCACTCCAAGCCTCAGTTTGTTCATCTCTATAGTGAGGACTCTAATGGTATCTATTGAATGGTTCTTTTGAAATTTAGATGAGATAGAGTATACAACACCCCCAAGCATGAAGACGTTATATGGCATCACAACATCATGATGGTATCACTACCATTAACGTCATCCTTTGATTACTGGAGAGGGAGAAGGAGGGTGCTCAGGGAGGTGCCTCCATATCCAGGTAGCCCTGCTCCCTGGGAGGTGATGTTTAAGCAGAGGCTTGAAAGATGAAGAGGAATTTGCTGGACGGATAAATAAAAAAGGTGCCCACCCCAGTTGTATGCAAAGTCCTGGTTGATGAGTGAGAAATAATGGCAAACTCGCCCACAGCAAGCAAGTGTGAGGCTCTGCCCAAAGGTCAGGCATGAGGCCTCTCTTGAGGAGCCTTCAAGTCTGACCACAGTGGTTGGACCCAGGGATCTGCTGGAGGCCAAGTTTAGACAACACTGGCTTTGAGACGGTCAGACAGTTCGGCTTTGAGCAGCTGTTGGACCTTGAGTATATCACTCAGCCTCTCTGAATCATGGTATCTTTTCATGTGCTGGTAAAATAGGGTTCCCTGCGAGCTGAGGCCAGGAGGGCCATTTGACTGATTCCCAGAGAACCTCACTCAGATTACTTCTGAGCTGTCTCAGGATGAAATTGTGGGCCCAGTGGTTGCGGTGTTTTGCTGTGAGTTGTGAATGTAATTTGTTGGATATATTTAAGATCTCTCTTAGTGACACGAAAGGGGCCTCTGGTGGCCTGGTCTGTAGGGTGTTGTTCCACTAACCCAAAGGGTACGCCTCTCTGGCTTTTTCAGTCCACCAGTAGCTCTGCAGGAGAAAGATGGGCGGTCTCCTCCCATGCCATGTGCAGACTCTGAAATCCAGTGGAGGGTCAGCTGTGAGTTGGTTCTAACTGGAGAGCAATGAGTTAAGCTGTTGATGGTAACTGAGGCCCCTCCACTAGATAGACTGAGACCTAGTGAACACCTTTGAGCTCTGTCCACCAGGACAAGGGTCCAGCATCTCCAGAGTATAGGATTTGTGGAGATGGTCTGGGGGCTCCAGAGGCTGAGGCAGGGGAGAGGGGTGGTCAGCTATAATCTGCTCAGAGGAAGAGGTAAGGAAGGGCCCAGATTGAGCACCTCCACCCTCTACAGACTTCAACACTGACAACTTCATCTGCAAGGAGGACCTGGAGATGACCCTGGCCCGGCTCACCAAGTCAGAGCTGGACGAGGAAGAGGTGGTGCTCGTGTGTGAGAAGGTCATTGAGGAGGCCGACCTGGACGGCGACGGCAAGCTGGGCTTTGCCGACTTTGAGGACATGATCGCCAAGGCCCCCGACTTTCTCAGGTGCTGCCACTTGGAAGGGACACCTGGGACGGGAGGATGGGGCCGAACCACAGTCAGACAGCCTGGCCACGCAGGACCACATGGGCTTGAGGCCCTTGTCTTTCACTGCTCATGACATGTCAGCAGATTCGCAGCAGACGACGTAGGGTTAGAGGCAGGATGGTCACCTTCCGGGTCTGGCTCCCCTCCATGTGTGGTTGGGAAGTCTTTTGCCCCCTACAAGGCCCGGGCTCTCAACACGTGAAGTAAAAGGACCTGGAGCCGTTTGGTTATAATCAAGGAGCTGGAATCCCTAGAGACGGCAGGCCCTCCATGGCTGTTCCACTTGAGAACCATTTCTCCCTCCTTGGATTCATTGAGAGTTCCCTTCAGGGCTCCTGAGGGGTCTATTCCTAATCCCAAGGAGTCGGGGTGTAGCAGGCTGAGAGCCTGGTTTGCTTTTCAACTCTCCCAGTCCTGGCCTCTCACCCTCTCTGTCACCTTTTGCAGCACGTTCCACGTCCGGATCTGAGGACACTGCCGAGGCCACAGAGGCCTGGAAGCCCACCATCCAGCCTGCTGTCTGTGGATGTGACCCCTCAGGCCACCCAGGAAAGCAACTTTGGCCTCTGGAGTTTACACTTATGAACATTTTCATAATTTTCATGCCCTTTCAGCAAAAAACAAAAAAATCTTAACCAGGGAAGGGGGATGTGAGGAGCACTTTTCTTCCCAGGACCCCCATTGCCCAACCCTAGACCTGTGGCCCCTCCAGGCTCTCCCTCTCTGGCCCCCCTTCCCTCTCAATACCATTTCTAATAGTGGTGGGGACAATGACCAGTTTAAGTGCTGGACAGACACCTCAGTTGCCCAGGGCAGACTGCAAAAAAGAGAACAAGGGGGTGTGGGGGCAGGCTTTTCATTTAATGAGCTATGCAATCTTTCTCCAAAACCTGAAGCTGGGCCACAGCCCAGCCCCTGCCTGCTCCCCCTCTCCACAACCCCTGTGTGAAGCTGTGTGGACAGTAGGTCCAAGGGCTCCGCCTCCTCTCTGCCTCTGGGCTTTGAGCCCCACCATGTCCACCCTTCCCAATAATCTGCAGTCCTCACTGGCGTGTGCTGTGCACAGATTTGTGAACTCGCGATCCTACAGCTCCTCGGTGTTTCCGCCCTCCCTGTGTCTGACAACGCCAGGAAGCCATCAGTGGGACCGGACCTCTTAGTCCTTGAAACCTCACCATTAGTGCTTCTCCTCTCTGAGCTGACCACTGCCCTCCCGTATTAGGCACCAACATTTTTTTCAATGCTGGTGTCTGGGAGGAAGACCCATCTGGACCCCAGATCCTCGTATGAACCCCACAAAAGACAGAGCATAAGGATTGTCTCTGCTCGCTCCATATCAGTAGCAACTCCAATGAACACTGACTGAGTGCCTATCATGCGTTGGGCACAGGGCTCATTGCTTTCCTCTGAATCCTTACAACCCCCTTACGTGGTTGGGACTCTTAGAATGTCGTTTTTCAGAGAGAGATGCTACGTAACAGCATCAGAAGTGACAGGCAGGTGAGGGTGGCTTCCTCCACTGTGACCAGCCTGCTCTACCCAGGAGCCTGGTGAGGGTGCCTGTGGGGTCTTATCTGGTGGTGGTCAGTCTGTTTTCCACTTCCTGGGCTTCAGGGCATTGAGCGCAGCAGCACTTTATGGAGGAGGAAACAAATAGGTCTCAGGGGAAGTGAAAACAGAATGGATGAATAGGACAACGGACTAAGGAGAAGGCAGCCTGGCTGGTGGCCCAGCTCAGGGCTGGCCGTTTGGGCTCTTTGGAGGGCAGGGTCACCAGATTGGGACTGGGTCCCATAGGAGGGGTCTGGAAACCACCCGGAAGTACCAGAATTGACCTGGAGCCAGAGGGTAGGCAAGAGTGAGCTGATCAGATAGAGGTGGTCACAAGTGACCTCTGACTGCTCCAGAAACCAGAGCCCATGCTCCACCCCAATGTGTGACCCTAAGTATGTTCCTGCCCCTCTCTGGCTCAGGTTCCCCATCTGCAGCACAAGGGGGTCAGATCAGATGCTCCATGGGGTCCACTAGCTTGTGCAGCGAGGCTGGGACAAAAATAGGGGGTAGGCAGGAGCCCAGGACGGTAGTCCCAGAGTCAGGCAACCTCCAGGGTCAGGACGGTCACCTCTGGGATGGCCTTTGCCACCACTTCCTCTGGCTTCTGGTCTCCATGGGCAGCAGCAGCAAGGACCATGACTCCTGTGCCTCCTTTCTGCTGGTGGGCACCCGAGGAAGGGGACTGGCACTGGTCTCAAGAGCTACAGCAGGAAGTGGCGCGTCCAGCCGGGGAGACGTCGATCCTAGCACAGGGCTGGTCTCGTGCTCAGCAAATGTTCAGTGAGCACACGGATGCATGAGGAGGGGGCAGACCTGTCTAGGAAATGAGGGTAATGACCCTTGGCTTGGCCAGTCCCCACTCATCTCATGCCTGGGTTGCCTCCTGTGGGTGGGTGGTGGCTTCTGGGGGAGTGGGGTATGGCCCTCTTCAGACAGCCGCCTGGGCTGTGCCTCAGCCTGGCTCCTGCACAGGCTAGTTGAATCTGAGGAGCTGAGAGACGCCTTCAGGTGAGTCGGGAACGTGTCCACAGCTGCTGGCACAGTCCAAGCGCCAGGAGACCCGCTCGTGCCGGAAGGTAGACCCTCCTCAGTTTTTATGCTTCTTGTCCACAAAGAAGAGCCTCCGGAGCTTGTCAGGCTGAAGGGGGAAGACGATGCTGGGCCTGGGTCCCTGGGCGCGGGAGAGACCCAGCCTCAGAGGGTCCATTAGCACAGACTAGGGTTGGGGAGGAGGTCAGGAAATGAGAAACGAGGGATGGATGGCTACTTCCACCGCCTCCACACTCCCTAAAATGCTGCCATCAACCCGCCTTTTGACTATGGAGGCAAAGGGAAAGGAAGGGCCTCAAAGAGGGTACAAAATGAAGATCAAACCCCAGGCTCCACCCCTCAGAGCTTCCTCCCAACCAAAGGCCTTAGGATATACTAGAGTCCGTCCGAGAGTGGAGGGGGACGATATAAATGGTGCCACCAGAGACAGGAGCAGGCACAAGACTTTGCAGCCACGGATAGGCAGATGTGGAAGCACCACACCTATCCCTAGCGGCCACCTCTCACCACTGCCAGGCACTGGGTGCAGTTCTGGGCAGCGACAGAGGCCTGGTCTACCATGCCTGGCTACCACAGGTCCCTGTCTACCACTGGATGCTCCCTAAGGGCTGGCAACCCCCTCACCCATCCACAGGGCCCACCTTCTGTGGCCGTCCAGGCTCCTTGCTTTTGGCTGCAGGGATTTGCTCATAGGTGTTCCCAGGCTCTGGGATCCTCTCGTAGACAAAGTCCACAGGCCTTGACAGCTTGCTGTAGGTGGGATTCACTGAAGGATGTGGAGGTCTGGTGGGGCCGTCCCAGAAGGCTGGGATCTGCTCGTAGGTGTCACCTGCAGCTGGCATGCTCCTAGCCTGCTGCAGTACACCCGCTGCCCCAATGATCTCGTAGCTGTCTGCGGAGCTGTCCTGGGAGCAGGACTGAGCCCTTTGGTTCAGCGTTGGAGACCCTTGCCTCCAGGTGGCAGCTGGGGACCCCAGAGCCTCAGAAGGAGGGGGGAGGAGGAGCCCCTGGGAGGTAGGAGACACTGCTGGGCTTGGGTCTGGGCTCACTCTAGCAATGGCAAGCCCTGGACCCTCGGGCCTGTTCTGCCCGTCATCTGATGGTCTCCTTGGGGCCTCTTTGGCAGAGCAGGCCTGGCTGCCAGCGAGGACCAGCCCCTGCCTGCTGGACGCCTCCTTGCCCAGGCCTGGATGGGCCTGGTTCCTCTTCTTCAGGTCTGCATAGATGATGTCACTGGGGCCTCCAAAAGACTCTTCCAGGAGGGAGGCACTCCTCTCGGGGAGCGGGGGCACCCTGATGGACGTCTGGGGGCAGAGGAACAGAGTTTTTCTTATAGAGCACACATTGCTGCCTAAAATGCCCTCAGGTAATCAGAAGCCCTCTCAGGTAAGCTAAGGCTTCCTGTCTCAGCCTCATTTTACCTTACTGTTCTGTGCTGGCACTCTGAGCTCTCAGGAGCTGGGCTCTGACACTGACCTTTATCTTAGCATTCAGGGCCTCAAGTTACCAGCTCCACATCCCACTCAAGCTCATCCTGTTCTTCCTGGAAGTCCCCAAGAATCTCCAGAATCCACCCACTCCGATCCCTCCAAGCCCACCCTTCAGGCATGCATTTAACAAGTACTGAGAACCAACTGTATCCTAGACACTGTTTTGGGTGGTGAGGACTCGGGGGTGAACAAGAACCACTTGAGGAGTCTGCATTTTAATCTGGGAGCTGGGCAATATCTTGCTCTGCTAGATAATGTAATGGTTTGTGGAGGCCTGGTGGGTATGGGGTGCTGTCAACTTAAAGGCAGGCAGTTCAAATCCACCAGCTTCTATGTGAGAGAAATGATAAGTTTCCTCCTGGGCAATTTACAATCTGAATCTCCACAGTGAGTCAGTTCTGACATGATGGCAATAAGTTAACATATATGATAATTGTGTCAAAGGGCAACCTACGATGGCAGCCCTGTAAAGAACAGCAAGGCAGGGTGAGGGCGTACTTAAGCAGAGTGGACAGAAGTTTGAGCATAAGCAGGCAGACATCTAGTGAGAAGAGCATCCCAGGCAGAGGATACAACATGTGCGAAGGCCCTGAGGTGGAAACAAGTTTGGTGTACTCAGGAATAAACAGCAGTGAAGCTAAACAAGATTGAGAAAGGATGAAGTGATAGTATATGCAACAAGGGTCTTGTGGGCCCTGGTGAAGACTTCAGATTTCATCCTAAAAGTGAGGAGAAGCCCTTGGCATGCTGTGATCTGACACATGTTCAGAACAATCCCAGTCCCTCCTGTGAGGGGCTGAGTCCTGGGTGCCCTGCTCTAGTGAACAAAGGACTGTCAGTCATGACACACACATCCTTCCACTCAAGCCTCACAGTGGTTTGGAGGATGGAAGACTGAAGCTCAGAGAGATGAAGGGGCTTGCTCAAAATCACACGGCCAAAAATGGATCAAGACAAGGATTGAACCAAATCCAGCTGGCCAGGGGCAGGCAGTGATCATGGGTGAGCACTGGGGCTTGCCGAGCTGGGACTGTACATCCCTGGGCCTGGCACTGACCAGCCACAGCCTGAAGGCACTGGCCAGCGAGGTCTCTCAGGCCTGACTGTACCTCCTATCCTGGGCAGGCAGCTCTGACCCTGGGGCCCACCCCACTCCTCACCTCCGAACTTTCCTCCTTGGAGAGGTGCCTGGGGCTTGAATTCAGACTCTTCCTTGTGTGGAGGAATGAGACCTGGGGTTTTGGAGGCAGGCTGGGGGGACCAGCAGGCTTGTCTGGGCCAACCGTGAAGGCTGCCATGGCAGGTTGACTTCCCAGTGCCAGGTTGGTCTGGGGGAGGCCCAGAGTGACGGCATCATACAGATTGTTGTCCTCCAGCTAAAGTTGGGGGCACAGCATGTATGTGGTCACAAACCCCAGGGTGCCCCCCCAGTTACCTGCCAAAGACTTCTCGAGAGGGGCTGAGACATTCTCACTAGGCCTCCGACCTCAGGTGAGATGCTGCCTCAGTCTCCCCTTTTTACAGCTCTGCCCTGAATACCCCTGGTGGGCAGTAAATAGGGAAAGTAAGAAAGTACCTGTGCCCAAGTGAATGGACACCCTGGGCTCAGCACCCTGAACAGCCACCCTCACCCTGGAAGAATGTGGTACCTACCCGGGGACAGGCAGTGGTCAGGGTCTCCCCAAAGGGCTCGAATTGCACCTCCTGGTAATGGTGCACAAGTTCGGCTAGGGTGTTGTGACTCTGGGTGTCCCCCGAGACGAGGTAGCGCCGGTTTGGGAGCTGGTTGATGACAAAGTGCCGGCAGCGGTCACTGCCCCTGTAACACAAGGATGTGTGGCCTGGGGCTGCTGGCCACAGGAGGCTTGGCCTAAGCTCCCAGTCCTGGATGCCAGGGAGGGGCTAACCAGGGATAGGACTGTCCCACATGGCGTCTCGGTGGGTGTTTCTGAAAAGTGGGACTGATCACTGGTAAATAACCACAGTCACTCGGGACACTTGTTGAAAGCTCAGGGAGCTCGGGAGTGGTTTTCAAAGCCTGGGGGCCTCGGGTCCAGCTCTGCTGGGGTCTAGGGTGAGGCAGTCCCACTGGAGGTGCCAAACTGTAGGAGGCACCAAAAGAGAAACCAGGATAAAAGTGGTCAAACAGCCTCAGGTGCCAGTAGAGGGTCAGCTATAACTCGATTCCAACTCTAAGGTAATGTGCTTTGTGTAGACTCATAATTGAGATTTATACACTATTTTAGATTTTTTTTAAAAAAGAGTGGTCAAACATGTCATCAAGATGCATTGATAATTGCTGGTGATTCTTGTTACTTGGCCACCAGAGCTCCCCAATGATCTGAATGCAAAAGCTAGAAACAAAGAAAGACCCATAGTTGGAAAATAGGCCTTTGGCAATAAAAGGACACTGGATATTTCATGATAGACTTTTACAAGACTAACAGTTTATTCATTGAGAATACTTTCTCTCAACGGCATAAATAGGGATCATACAGACCTCAGCACACAGCGCACAGGAGTCAAATCAACTGTACTGCCACATGGCAGAGAAACTCAGTAGTATTGGAGCAAGGTCGGGGCTAACTGCAGAAATGATCATCAGTTTGCTCATGTTCAAGTTCAAGTTAAAACTGAAGAAAATGAAAACAAGTCCACAAGAGCCAAAGTACAACCTAGAGTGTATCCCATCTGGATTTCAAAGACCATCTCAAGAATAGATTTGAAAGAGAGTTCTGGTGGCCTAGTGGCAAGAAACTGCACTGCAATCCTGAAGGCCCACAGTTTGAATTCACCAGATGCTTCGCTGGAGAAGGATGGGCAATCTCCTCCTGTGCCAGTCAGATCCAACACAACAAGGAAAAAAAGAAGAATAAATTTGAGCTTTTTACAAAGATGCCACCAAAAGCTAAGAAGAAAGCCGCTGCCCCTCCCAAAACTGAAAAAAAAGGCCTTAAAGGCCAAGAAGATGGGCCTGAAGGGCGTCCACAGCCACCAAAAAAAGAAGATCCACACGTCACCTACCTTCCAGCGGCCTAAGACTCCAAAGGCAGCCCAAATACCCCCAGAAGAGCACCCCCAGGAGAAACAAGCTTGACCACTATGCCATCATCAAATTTCCCCTGACCACTGAGTCAGAGATGAAAAAGATAGATAACAACACACTTGTGTTCATTGTGGATGTCAAGGCCAACAAACATCAAATCAAACAACCTGCAAAGACGCTCTATGACATTGATGTGGTCAAGGTCAACACCTTCATTAAGCCTAATGGAGAGAAGAAGGCCTATGTTTGACTTGCTCCTGACTGATGCCTTAGGAACTGACTGGATTAAAATCAAAACGTCCACTGAGCTGGGACAGCATAACCTTGATTCTTACACTGAAGCTTGGTTATGAAAACAGGAAATGTCAACAAATAAGAAAAGAAATAATAAAAAAGAGAAGAAATCGTAAAAAGGCATCTTGGAGTCCTGTTACCATATTTTACTGCTTATGCAATGAAAACCTCGTCAGTACAAGCTCTGAGAACTAAAGTTCGTGAGAGCACTCAGTCATGGGTTCCTCTCCCCTCACCTCTTGATGTGGAAAAATCTTGAGCAGATCATTTCAACAGTGGCCCTTTCCTGATGGTCAGAGACAGTGCAGCAATGGAACAATCTCATAAATGTCACACATAAGTAAAACTTTGCTGAAGACAACAGTATTTCAACAGAGAATTCCAGAAATTCAAGCTAGAGTCGCAAGAGGAATCTTGGGTGAAAGAAGAGAATACTAAAATGAATGTCCCTGCATTTTACTGACTGTGTAAAGGCATTAAACTGTGTTAATCCTAACACGTTGTGGGTAATATTGAGAAGAGTGGGAATTCCAGAACACTTAGTTGTGCTCCTGTAGAATCTGTACATAGGCCAACAGGCAGTTATTTGAACAACACAAGGAGATGCTTCATGGTTTAAAATCAGGGAGGTTGTGCATCAGGGCTGTATCTTTTCACCATACGTACTCATTCTGTATGCTCAACAAATAATCTGAGAATCTGGACTGTACGAAGAAGTATGACATCAGAAAAAATGAGGAATAAAACTCAAAAACATAAAAAAAGTCAGGCAGGCTTACTGGTCCAGTAGAAACTAGTGAAATCCCTGAGAACACAGCCCTGAGTTACCCTGGAAACTGGGATGAAACTCAGCCTTTAAGCCAAAAATGCACTGGTCTGTAAAGTGGACAATAACAACAGAGCAGCACTCACTTCTTAACCGGCCAAGGTCAGAAGAGCAGGCTTGACCCAAGCCCTGAAGGCAAGAAGAGGGAGCTAGAAGGACAACTAATGTTGTATGGCTTCTAGTTGAACTGACTCATAACTGGCTCTCCAGTGTGTTCTCCTCCATGGGGACCATGCACCCTGCTGCACCCAAGCACTGTGGTTATCTCTAACACCCTAGTTTTCCATGCCAACATTAGTCTAAACCACTCTCTTTACTGCCTTGCTATCCTTCCTTCTGCCTTGGGCTCAGAGTTCACTTCTGGGAAGCCCTCCCCAACTTCCCATTGTTCTCTCTGACCTCTCCTCCCCAAACTACACCCCTGCTAAGGGCTGAAAGTCTTATCCCCAGCATATGACCAGTGCTCAGAAAAAGCCCACTGAACATTGGATGGATGACCGTTGAGGATTAGCGACTGCCAGGCAGTGTGGGCCAGTGGGGATGCTGTGCTTATCTGCCTGACTAGGTTAGGGGTCCCTGAGTCCACCTGCCACCTTGCTGAGGGCTTCCTCTCTTACCTGTAGGACAAGATGTAGCCGGTAGCCCGGTCACTGAGGCGAATGAGGAAGGAGCCAAGAGTTTTGTCCCTGAGTAGCTGCTCTGTCTGCCTGGGAAGAGGACATTCCATTAGCAGGGTTCTGTGTCCTTATGGTACCAAGACTCTTGTGTCAGAATCTCTTCTGGCCAGACCTTTTGGTCCCAGACCTCCATCCTCAAACAGGAAACTAAGCCAGACCATCTGCTGGGCCTGGGCTGCTCAGAGCAGTCTGTGGCTTGTCTGGGTTCAGCTGAATGAGTTCAGAACTCAGCCGGGGGCTGGGTGGGAGTCCTGAGGTCACATCCTGGACCGCTCTGCAGTCTCATAGGTAAGCATTCTAGTTACTGACCCTGCCACCCTCATCCACATGGATGGCTGTGCAGCAAGAAGACTTAATCCATCTGACTGGCAATGTTCAGATTTGGAGAAATCTCTGTTTCACAGATACTGCATACAGTTGTGCAGGATGTGCCCTCTGCAAAAGTTTCTAGGGGAAGCGGGGCACTGCTGTGTTTGAAACCTGTCTCCTTCAACACCAGGGAACATAAGATGTTTCTACATGGTACCAAGTATTTGAGGTTATGTGGAAAGTTCCAGCTGTCTTCTGTTTTGACAAAGAATCATAGTGGCATGATGAGTTAGATGTTGGGCTCCTAATCCAAAGGTTGGCAGTTGGAATCCACTGACTGCTTGGTAGGGGAAAGATGACACAGCCTTTGGGTTAATAGTGTTAACTTTCAAAGGACTGTGGCTCCCTGTGAAAGACAGACAGCTTTTAAGACCCAATGGTTAGAGTTAGAGCTGACACCAGGGTAGTGAGTTTGGGTTGTTTTCATTTCTGTTTGGGCTGGGCCTACACTAGATATTCTCTGTTTTCATTTCTGTTTGGGCTGGGCCTACACTAGATATTCTCTCACTCACTTCTCACTAAACACACTAGATGCCTCTCTCAGGCAGGGCCAGCTACAAAATTTGCTGGGCTCAGTACAAAATGAAAATGCAAGAGCTCTCGTTACAAATCATTATGAATTCAAACACAGCAGCAGCAGCAGCAGCAGCGCATTAAACAAATCACCAGGCTCTGTTGTGACCAGGAGGCTTGGTGCCCACCATTCTGCTCTGATTCTCTACCAGGTGCTTGGAGATCCAACCTGGTCAGTTAGCCAAAGCTCACATCTTGTCCTTTCTTCCTAGGGTCACCGTACATGCAGGTTTGCCTCAGACAGCCCTTGTGTACAGGCTGTTGAGCACTGACCAATGGATGGATACTAAAACACTATAGTTTTCTGTTTGGATGACAAATGGTATCGCTCCCCTAGCTGTTGGTGAGAATTGAATATATCCTTCCTGTCCCCCTCTGTCCATCTGGCATCCTGGCAGCCCTAGTATGCTCACATCTGTGCTCAGAGGCGGCCAGAGACCCTCACCCATCCTGCCCATGAAAGTGGCTGCAAAGGGTCCTGATAGCCCAAGGAGAAAGCAGGGCCCAGTCTTGCTGGAAAGCCCTCAAGTGCATCTCTCAGGGATGTCTCTCAGGGAAAGCCATGCTGAACACGTGGTCGGGCAGCCTTACTTGCGTGTGATGAAGCCGTGGAACCAGGGGGGCAGGACACCATTCTGCAGAATGAGGGGGGCCTGCGTCTCCATAAACCACTTGAGGGCCAGCATCTGGAGGTCAGCCAGGGCTTGGCTGTCCCGTGGCCGCTCAGGCTCCCTCCCCGGGCTGAGCTGTCTCATGCTGTCCTCCATCCCTGCCAGCCGTGAGGTGCAAGCCAAGCCCTAGAGCCACACCCTCTATATCTGCACGCTCACCTCATTTGCATGCACCTTGCCCTCCCCACGCACCTGCAGCAAACAGGGACCCTATTGTCACCTCTGGTGGGTGGTTGTTTCTCTCCTCCGACGTTTTGGGGCAGGGCATTGGAAAAACAGGGCGGGGTATAGGAACAATCTGAGATGGAGAAAAGACACCCGGATTTGTAGTCCAGGACGTGAGTTTTGCTCTTTTTTTTTATTTTATTATTATTTTTGTGTGTCTGTGTACCGTCAAATCAGATCTGACTGGTACAGGAGGAGATTGTCCCTCCTTTCCCGGAAGAGCATCTGGTGGATTCGAACCATGGGCCTCTGGGATTGCAGTGCAGCTTCTTGCCACTAGGCCACCAGAGCTCCCCTAAGTTTTGCTCTTTCCTCTCAAACCTGTGGTCTTTGTCACAGCTAAAGTGCAAACTCTGGTTAAAGGCCACAGCACTGCCACGCTTAACAAAGCAGTAGATTTCAATCCTGTGTATACTCCCCCTGTGAAGGCAGGCTTCTTGTATTTTGGCAAAAGTCAGAAATCCCAAGGGGAGCTCTGGTGGCCTAGTGGCAAGGAGCTACAACTACAATCCCAGAGGTGCACGGTTCAAATCCACCAGATGAGAAGCTCTGCCGGGGGAAGGAGGGACAGTCTCCTCCTGTACCAGTCAGATCTGATTTGACAGTACACTCACACAAAAATAATAATTAAAAAAGTCAGAAATCCTGTGCTGAGCTCCCCTTCAAGACTGAGTGCCCACTATGCCAGGCACACGTGGGCCCTGAGAATAAAACTGTGAGCCAAATATTTTTGCCCTCATGGTGCATACATAGACATGTATAAACAAATACAGAGACCACAGCTTTAAAAGAGGCAGTGGTGGCTCAATGGTAGAATTCTGCTTTTCTTGTGGAGACATGGGCTCGATTCCTAGCGAATACATGTCATGAGCAGCTGTCATCCTTCTGTCAGTGGATGCTTGTGTTGCTATGATCTTAAGCAGGCTTCAGAGCAGCTTTCAGACCAAGAGAGATTAGGAAGAAAGGCCCAGCGATTTATTTTCTGTAAGTCAGCTGAAGAAAACCCAATTGATCACAAAGGTCCCATCCCATTGTATATGGGGTCACTATGAATTGGGAGCTGAATTGGCAAAAACAACAACAGAATTTCAAGTGTCAGAAGCAACCCAAGAGAACAGCAGAGGAATAAGGTAGAGAATGGTGGGATGAATCATTTAGGTAGGGGGTCAGGTGACTCTAAACTGGAGAATGAATGAGGGAGGCAAGCAGGTATCTAAGGAAGAGATGCCGTTCACCATGGGAGGGAATCACAAGGGTGAGACTTTGTTTGTTGTTGTTATGTGTTGTCGAGTGGCTTGCAATTAATAGTGACCCTATAAAAGAGCCCTAAACCCTGCTCTATCCTGTGCCAACCTCACTGTCACCGACACACTCCCACCACCCCAATCACAGAATTGATCCACCTCATTGAGGGTGTTCCTCTCCTGAGCCGTCCCTCCACTCTCCCAAACATGATGTCCCTCTCCAAGGACCAGTCCCTCCTTGCAACATGTCCAAAGTATGTCAGATGAAGCTTCAGAATCCTTGACTCCAAGGAGCATTCTGGCTTCACCCTCTCCAGGACAAACCTGTTTGTTCTCCTAGCAGTCCATGGTATATTCAACACTCTTCTCCAGCACCACAGCTCAAAGGCATCAATTCTCTTTCTATCATCCCTAGTCACCATCCAACTCTCCGATGCATTGCACGCAATTGCAAAGACTGTAGCCTGGATCAGGTGCACCTTAGTCTCCAGCCTGATGTCGCTGCTTTGCTAGAGATTCCCAATAACAACCTAGAAACCCCTGTGGCCAGAGCAGAGGAGGACTGTTGGAGTAGACAGAGAACTGAGATAAGACTTTAGCTCAGTTAGGGCAAATGGACCTTGTGTATCTGCAAAAATCCCTGAATCTCTCGTATCTTTCTTAGGTTCACAATAGAAATCTAGGCTCAACTAACAGTGAAGCTGCCCCAAGAAACTGGGTTAGAATCCTAGCTTTGTTTCTTCTTGTTATTGGGTGTTATCAAGCTGACTACAACTCAGAGCAACTCCAGGAACCTTGCCTTATCCTGCATCATCCTTGTGACCTCTAAAATGGGTGAGCCCATTGTTACGGTCACTTCACCAGTCCTTCTTTTTTAGGTTCTTCTTCTGTTTCACTGATGCTCTTCCCCCTCCCCCTGCCCCCAGCATGATGTCTTTTTTCCAAGGACTGGTCCCTCCGGACAACATACTCAAAAGTATGTGAGAGAAATTTCACATCTTTGCCTCTAGGGCACCTCCATCTTCACTTTTTCCAACACAGTCTTGTTATTTTGTTAGTTCATGGAATAGTCAGTATTCTCTCACACCATGATTCAAAGGCATCAGTTTTTCTGCTGCTATCCATATTCACTGTCCAATTTCCAGATATATAGTCTGTAACAAAATACCATGGCTTGGATCAGGCATACCTTAATCTTTAAACTGACATCATCACTCTTTAGTGTTTTGGGAAAGTCCTTGAAAAGTAAATTTTCTCAATGCAGCACATCTTCTGACTTCTTGACTGCGTGTACCAGAGATGTTACTTCTTAGCTTAATCTAATTTTATTGTGGTGAAAATAAACATAACAGAACATAAGAAATCTCAACGATTTCTCCATGTACATTTCCATGACATTCTTCAGAATCTACTTTTCATCACATATTGGCCTGGGGCTTCAGAGAAGCTGCTAAGTTTTTGTACAGTTGCCTCCATTTTTCCATCTCTAAAATAAAAATAATAAGAGGCTTCCGGACAATGACTAAGGATGATAGAAGAAGAATCATTTCCTATGAATTGTGGTGCTTGAGAAGAGTATTGAATATACCAGGGATTGCTAAGAGAACAAACACCTCTCCTGGAGAGGGTGAAACTAAGCTGGTCCTTGGAGAGGCAAGGATTCTGAAGCTCCATCTGATATACTTGATCATGTTGCAAGGAGGGACCAGTCCTTGGAGAAAGATGTTGGGAGGGTGGAGGGACAGTGCAGGAGAGGAAGAGGCTAGATGAGATGGAGTGACACAGTAACTGGGGTAATGAGAGTAGATGTGTCGGAGACCATGAGATTGACTCAATATTAAACAGGGTTCAGAGGTATTGTACATAGGGTCCCTATGAGTCACAAAAGACTTGATGGCACATAACAACAACAACAACTGAACTCTAGAGTGATTTTGAGCATTAAAGATGGTATAAAGGTTGAGCATGAGGAAGTTCGCTAACAGGTAGCAGTGATCAATAGTAATTTAAGCCGGTGTGGTGACTGCATGGGATGACTCCAAGAGGGCAGGGGGACCGTGAGTATGACAAGGTTCTTTTGGTCTAGGCAGTAAGTTAGGTGAGTGTGTTCACTATGTGAAATTCCCTGAGCTCTGCATTTATTCACTCTCCTATGTACCTCTTCAATGTCAATAATTAACAGTGCACCAAAAAAAAACAAACAAAACAGGGAGCTCTGGTGGCCTAGTGGCAAGAAGCTGCACTACAATCCCAAAGGTGCGTGGTTTGAATCCAACAGATGCTTTGCTGGAGAAGGAGGGGCAATCTCCTCCTGAACCAGTCAGATCTGATTTGACAGTACAAACATAAAAATTAATAATAAAAAATAACAAATGCCACAAAACAATTAGTATTAGCCATTACTTTGATGATGGTGTGAAAAACTAAAAAACAGTACATTTCCGCCTGTTGATAACTATCATCATTGTTATCATTATAATGACTTCATCCTGAGTCATCTCAAATCAAGATAAAAATATCTCTTTGGGGTGGTTTAGAGGAAACTCCTGGCCACAGACAGTTTAGTTCCTGCCTCTGAGCCTGGTTTTCCCCTGTCTATGTAACACGGGTAACAATGCCTACCCGACGTGGGAGAACAGAAGTACTACGGGTAACACCCTGAGTACAGGACAGGAATGTCACTTCATGAACAACTCATTTTATCCTCATCTGTGGGAGAGTCAACTCCACATCACAGCTAGAAGCCAGGGATGAGAGTGGGTCAGTCCTGAAATTCTAGGCCCAGGCTTGCAAGGCCTTTAATTCTCCACATCTGGAGCCTATTTTTATTTTCCCTGTCAACGGAAACGTAGCATTTCTTTGTGAATGCAGGGGACAAACACCGCCAGTGTTCGCAGTCCACGTGACTCGGTTGCCAGCAGAAATCGTAGGTATGCTGTCTGCAGATATCACCTTTGCTCATGACTAGCTCCAAATTACAGTCATTTAACAGGCTACTGAAGGAAACAGTGCTGGTAGCCTAGCAGTTCAAGACATCAACTTACAACCAAAAGATCATCAGCTTGAACCCACTGATCTCTGGGAAGATGTGGCCATCTGCTTCTGTAAAGATTCAGCCCTGGAAACTCTGAACTCTGCTCTGTGTACGAGGTCATTGTGAGCGGAAATGGATGTGAGGGCAGCAGGTTCTATCAAAGAATCTCATCTATCCTGTTACTACATCAGAAATGTGTTAGTAAACATATTTCCATATGATTGGCTTCCATTGTAGTTCTACATATCTAATGCTTTTTAAAACACTATTTTGAAAGTCTGTGGACTTCAGCAGAGGAAGAAGGTCCAAGATGCAAGCAAAGCTCAGTGTCCTAGGGTCTGACATAGAGTCGGTTTGCGGTCAAACGAAGTCCTGGAAGTATTCAAATACAAAGAAATGCATCTCTACAATTTTCCATGAGGCACTTTCTCTCTCCACCTCCTTTTTAGCTCAGATACTTTTATGAACCAAACCTGTCCATTTGCATAAGAAGACAAAGGCTTTGTGTCCAACAAGGGGACAGATTCCTGGCCAGCTGCAGTTTAGGAGTGAAGATTCCAGAGATAGGCAAATAAGGGGGAATCTATATTTAT